TTCAACTTCATGGTTAAACTTGTTGATGTAGACACATGAGAAGCTTGCCCTCCTGAATGGAGAGGGAGAGAAACTGCTACCCTCTGCTCTGCAAAACTAGCAGAAATGCAACCCTTTAGGAAGAAAAGAAGGGTAAGGATGCCAGTTTATCTTCTTCATTCTCTCTTTCCACATTCCCCAGTTCTCTGGTAGTCCTCTATCCAGCACAGACCCCAAAACATGTTCACTTAAGAATATTCCATTTCCATGACTGGCCTGGGGTTCTTCTGAGGACAAGAACCTGTCTTATTCCCTCTTTGTTCTGGAACTTCAGGGAGTGCCTGACACCTGCAACTTTTCTATATACCCTGAGTCAATACAAAAGAAACGAATCAGTCAGTCCGAGGCCACCCCTTCTCTCCATAATGCGACCCTTGGTCCATCTGCCAGGTGAGAAAGTGGAGGCTGGACATGCTGGGAGATGGTACCACCTCCCCTAGAGGTTCTGCTAGCAATAGAGCTAGCTGAAACAGGGCCAATATTGCTAAAGTTATCAAACAGATCTCTCTATTCACAGAGTGGGGAGCAAAGCCTTTGACTTTTCAGTTTTTTAAGTGGAGCGGTGTCCACACAAGATCTTAGAAACACATTAGAAAGACATTTGACATTTAGAAATACATTAATCATGAGGGTGATGTGAGTTTCAGACATTTGGGAAGTCACTCCCTGGTTTTCTCACAGGGATATGCAAATGAGATCTTCATCCAATCTGTTCTTTCTAGTTTTTCATTTGATGATGTTTTAAAGGAGAGGAGAGAAAATGGAAGTTCAAGAATAAGCACTAATCAAAGTCCACATGTAATTATTTAGTGCCTTCCAGGTGCTCTGCCTACTTAACCCTCCACGTGCAGTTTCCACTCTCTTTTTCAGGAATTTCCTTTTCGCATAGCCCACTTCTCTGTCCAGGCTAAGCACAAGGGCTGTCTTCTCCTTCGAATCCTCCTTGGTTATTCCAGCTCAGACTCCCCTTTTTTTCCCTTGTCTGAACAGCCATCACACTTAAAGCAAGTAAACAGTGATATAAATTGAGAGTATGATTTTACTAGTAGAATCTATGCTATCATGGTCTTTTGATTTTCCACAATAAAATAAAACATCACTTGTTATTAATTGAATGTGTGAGAAATGCTGAGTGTTAAGTCCCATGCCTTTATAATCTTTCTTAATAATAAAAAAGAGCTAACATTTATTGATCTTTTAAAATTTATGCAGCAATATACTGAGCATTTTTCATACATAATCTTATGTAATCCTGGTGACAATCCTCAGAGGCAAATACTAATTTGTCTGTACTTCACAGGTGAAAAGCAATGTTATTACTCAGCCAAAGTAGTCAGCAAGTAGCAAGTCCAGGATTCAGACTCAGGGCATCTAGCATCAGAGGTCTTACTCTCAAACACTGCAATATCCTCATGAGAGCCTCTTCATTTTATCAGGCATCTGTAAATTAAAAAAAAGAAGAAGAAGAAAAAAAAATAATGAATAGGCCACAGTTGTTAGAAGGCTATTTTGGGATTTCAAGTTATATGACAAATATCTTCTTTTCAGTTTCGTCATGGAATCTTTCATGAATATATCCAGGCTCATTTGGAGATCATGTCTAAAATCCAAATTTGAGATCTTCTGCAGATACAAGGCTTGGGCAAATGGTGTTCTCTGTTCATCTTTGACACCCAAAGTCCCCTGCAGCCCTAAGTCACTTCTGCCTGGTGGCCCCAGGTGCCTGCTAATTTGTCCTCCTCAAGCCCCCACTTTGATTTCTCACCAGGCGTGGGTGCCATAGCACTTGTTACCATGTCTCTGTGTTTTGAAAAATAAAAGCATTGGGACTTCTAATACATGAGTCCAGCTAAAGACTGCAAGGCCCCTAAACTTTATGACGATTTCAAGAACTCATTTTAAGGCTGCTTTCCTGTTAAATTAGACTTTTTGTTGCACGCTGGGCAGTGGCAAGCACAGGGAGAGCCAAGAAGTGGGATGAGCCTGACACAGTAGCCCACCTGCCATGAGCCAAGGTTTAGGTAGGTGTTGATTTTGTTTGGGGTTGGCTTTGAATACACTTGATTCTTTTTTTAAAGTGTCCAAATGGGAGAGTGAATTGTGAATAGGGGAAAATGAGCCTGTGGGAGGGATAAGAAGATGGCCACCTGAGTGCACCTTTGACTCTACTAGTGTAAGGAGCTTTCTGAGATACTGGCTCGCGAGAAAGAAGCAGGTTGTCATGTCAACACTTGCAGTTTCTTTATATGTGTTTCCTGCAGCTTTTCACTGGAGTTTTAGTGCTATATTCTAAGAGCAAATTACTAATGCTGTGTGGGTCCAAGAAAATTCCTGGTGGGCAGGCAGGCCATGTGCTCTGAGGCACAGCCTGGGCTGCTTGCCTTCCCCTGTCCGCTCAGCCAGAAGTGGCAAGCCAGACACTCTTGGCTTCTTTTGTGAACAGAGACAAAGAGAAAAAGACATGCAGGCTGTACTTACCAAATGGTCAACAAGCTAGTCTTGCTAATGGGCCAGGGAATGGGGGAAAAGGGTGTCTCTTCTCTGGAGAGGCAAGTAGGGAATTGAATTACAGAGTAGAGATGGGTAAGGAGTGGCTTCCAGAGCTTATTTGGACTATAGGCTTGTTTTGTTTGGCTTTACATGCTTGGCCTGTGCCCTATCTTAAATTTAAATTCACTGTCATTTTTTTAAATCAGGAAATTTTACATTAAAATAATACATAATATTAGCCTTATTTAGAAACTCAGAATGTCTTATTTCTGCATGTCAATGATGAACTGATGCTGAGAAGCAACTCTGCCTTCAAGAGGCAAGTGCTGGAGATTTTACTGCAGTTCCCAGTGCTCCTCAGTGTCCCTGATACCGAAGTCATGTGCCACTGCCATTTACCATCTTAGTCCAGCTTATTTTACTCTTGTACATTATTTGCCTGGCTCCTGCGGCACTTGATTTCTTTTTTAGATTAGTTGTAAAAGGCCTTCTATTGCATAGAAAGGTGCTTGGGCTGTGTCCCTGGGCACTCAGAACTGTTGGTGGATTGAAGTTGGGAGCAACTAGCTCAGGTTTCAGTTCTGGAGATGACTTGGGTTCCTTACCTCAGGTCCATCCTGTTTCCAGTCCATCATGCCCATGAACACTAGCTGTGGAATGGGTGCTACAGGCAACACAGATGAGGAGGGCTTGTCCCAGGCACGTGGCAGGGATTGCAGAGAAAATAGAGACTCTGGAAGCAGTTCCAGTCCAGAATCGTCAAGGCTAGGAATGAGCTGGATTGTATGACATGTGGAAGGAAAAACAATGTTAAGAGGCTTGAGCTACTGGGCAGATAATAAAATGGCTGATAGAGTGAAATTGATGTATGTTGTGTTTGGATTATGGATACAAAAGTGAATAGAATTTGCTGATATTTAGACATTCAAGAAGCAGAGCTAGAGCATGTGATGAATTTATTTTCTATCAAAATATGTTTCATTATTAAATTAACATCATTTATAAATAAATGTGTGTAATAGCTACAAATGATGTGAATGAGTCCCTTCCTAGACAGCAGGTGTTTTTGGAAGAGAAAATCTCTGTCTCATTCACTGCCATATTCCTAGTACCTAAACAATACTCTATACCTTGCATGGGCACAGAACATACTTGCTGAATCTGTCAGTAAATTAATTAACTAAAGAGCTGCAGTTAGGGATAACTTAAAGTATGCTTAAAAATTGTTATAAATTTTATTTTTTAAAACTTTGCTTTTATTTCTGTTACCTACTGCCCCTTTTGTAGCCTCTGAAACCTATGCACATCTATGTACATTATCCAAGGGGACAATCTCATTAGATACATGTGGTAATACAGGTGGTCTCCAAAGACACTCTGCTTTGAATCCGTCAACAATCCCTAATTTTCATTTTGACCATTCGTTATTTTTCAACACCATTAAATGAATAATAACTATTTTAAAGCAAATGCATACACTAGTTTCTTCACAGAGATTCACTTGTAGTTTTTCATTAAGTAGCAAATAACCAAATGGATTGTCTTTCTGGGATGACCTTGTAGTCATAACCAGGGTGTCTTTGAGAGTCAAGGATTTCCCATTCAGATGCGGCTGCTTACATGATTTTTTGTAGTGACTGAGTTGGGTTCAGATGATGAGATTTTATAAGTAATTATCAAGTTTTATAAATTTTATATAAGTAATAAGTTAACATTATGCTTTTTGTGAAAATAATAAAGATGTACATAATATAAAAAGCAAAGGCCCCACTTGAACTCTCTCCTTTAGTTCATTTTTTCCCCCAAAGTAATCATAGCTTATTTTTATACATATTCTTCTCTCTACGCAGTTATGGCACAAACCAATATATTCATAAAGATAAGGGTTTTTAGACATAAGTCAGTTCATACAACACATATTATTAAATAATTTTGTAAATGGTTGCAGATCTGTATATGTTGTGGAGATCAACATGGCGATGCATCTGCGCACTCTGTTACGTATGGACCTTGGTTTATTTAAATGTTCCTTAAGCCCTAGACATTTTGCCTGTTTCTAATCTTTGACTGCTATGAACAATGCCACAATGAACAACTGTGCTCTTGAATCTTTGTGAAAATATATGAGTATTTCTCTAGAATATGTCCCTTGAATTAGAATTGCTGGTGTAACATGTGCATTTAAAATTCTGATAGATTCGTATTTCACATTTGTTCTTCTGAAAAGCTCTACCAGTTTACTGTTTTGCCAGAAGAATATAAGATCAACTCTTTCCCTACACCCCTGCCTTAACTAGATTTTGACATTTTTAAAAGATGTTATTACAAATTTTGTGGACAAGAAAATGAAACCTCACTGTTGTTTTCAGTGCTGTCACCGATTTCCTCTGAGGTAGAGCTTCGTGGGCTGATGAGAGCTTTGCTCACCATTTCCCCGCGTGTCTAAGTACCACTCTGCCCTCCCCTTGCAGATGCTCACTACCTCACCTGCAGGATCCAGGAATGCGCGGAGACCACTCGGAGTGGGCCTTTTGCTCGCTCCATTGACGTCAGTTCCCTGGTCGTCCAGGATGAATACATCTTCATTCAGGTGAGTACAGAAAGTGTTGTCATTGGTTGAGGGAGGAAATGAAAAGGATATTCAAGATGAGGATGGCTTTCCAGGGGGTGCTATCCTTCTTTTGCTTTGGTAACCTGGCTCCTTGGGGAGATCTCAGACTTCTGGTAAAAGATGAAGGCATTGTGTGTCAGTGTCATTTATAGGGGACTATAGTGGCCCATTGAATCCCTTAGTTGAGTTGCTTTTTGATTATATCAAAGGGGTCTTTTAATGAGTGGGACTTGAGCTGGGGATTGAGGTTACTTACAGTCAGGTCTCTAATGAGAGTTAACTTTAATTTATCAAAGTGACTTGTCTAAACTTGCTAATGAGAATCCCCCAGAAATTAAGCATCTGTAGGATTTCTATTCTGGAAAAATCCAAAACATACTATATCTTTCCTTCCCTTTTCAGTGCCGACTACCCCTTCAAATGTCCAAGTCCAAAGTCCATCACTCCCAGAACCCTGACTCTCAGATAGCTTAGGTGGGACTCACGTTTCTAGGTGGACAAAGGAAGCCTTGTTTTAGGTTTGGAGTTTCACTAGAGGGAGATGCAAAATAGATAAAAAATGAGGAAAAACAAGATGATGTTCTACTGAGTGAGTGACTATGTATGTATGTGTGTGTGGCGAATACTTGGCACAAACTGTTTCCTTTAAGAAACTTGAACTTTGGAATCTGCCTGAATTAGGAGTTGTTACTTAGATCTTAATAGATTAATTTGTCTCCTTCTTTCCAAGTTGCATTTTACACTCTCTGAGGATAGGGCCCATATTTTATACACACAATTTACTCCTCATCCTTGTCCCTGACAAGGTATCTTTGCAAATCGGGGGTGCTGAGTGACTGCCTTTTGAACTGATGGATTATGGATGTAGCAGTAACTTCTTTTTGCAAATTAGTTGCATGGATTTTTGAGGTCCTAGTAAAATACAGGAAAAGTAGCCAGCCACTCAAAAATCAGCTTGAAAAGGGTAGTAAAGGAGAGGTCTTTATGGCTTACACGTCACTGTTTCTTATCTTGATTAAAAGGCAGAATCTTGGGTAATTTTTCCTAAATATTGGTAGGTCATTGGCACTATCATTCCCTTATTCAAAAGTGTTTTTTGAACACATACAATGCATACAATGCAAAGTAGACAGTCTGAGGCACTACTCTTGGGGTCCCTAAGCTTTCTTCCCTTGGTCAGTTTCTTTTTGCACCCAGTACTTATAGTCTGGGAGTTCTCATGGTTTTGGGTACTATCTCCCTGTTCTTATGACTCTCAAGTCAATGAGCTGTGACCTTTATCATGTACTGCAGACCTATATATCTAATAGTCATTTCAACCACAGGTAAAATAAAGTCAACATGACCCCCTTGAACCTGACACATTGGTGGTATTACCTTTGACCAGGTTACTCAAGGTAGATACCTGAAAGTCACTGTATGTCACCAAATTAAATGAATCCACAGCCTCTGCTAATATTGCTCTTAGTTATTTCTTAAGTACTTTCTTTTATTCTATCCCCATTGTTATGGTCCTGGTTTAAGGCTTTATTATTGCTTTCCCTCTAATTTTTGTTTAAGGTACAAACACAGGCATGATTTATAAATTTACTAATCCAATTGTACTTTTCTTAATGCCAATACTACATAAAATGATGAACATTGCAGAATTGTTTCTGGGAAACATCACTTAGAATTTAAAATGTTCAGGCTTTTCAGTTTCATTTTTCCTTGTATTGCTTAAAGTTTTCTATAACTCTGCAGGCAGATATCCAGATTTTTTTTCTACTTTGAAAGATTTTTTTTTCATTATGCTGGAAGCCAATACAAGATTCTTCTTTAATCAGCATCATATTTTATTTTCTTTGAGATATTGGTTCCCATTATCCAATATAGTTTTATTGATTGCCTACTATGTTCCCGACCCCTTGTTCTAGGTGCTGGGGTTAAAATAATAAGCACAATAAAGATCCTGTTTTAGTGGCATATAGATTCCAGTGGAAAACAGGAAAAAATACATATATGATTGTCTATCTATCTGAAAGGCTCTGAGGGATGGTGTAGTTTGGAGATTGATGACCAACATTTATCCTAAGTGTGGCAGCTTGGCTTGCCACAGTTAGCAGTATGACCTTGAGCCGTGCCTCATTTGACTCCTCTATAAAAAGAGGATAATTGCAGTTCCCACTTCATGGACCACTGGGAGGATTGCAATTGTTAATTATATCGATAAGGCACCAAAACTATGTTATATGTGTTGCTTTCTATCTTTCTGTCTATCCTGTATGGTCATCTATATATCTAACTATAAAATATATCAGGTAGTAACAATGCTATGGGTAAAAATAGCTGAGGGACTGTGAATGTAGGGTCTGTTGGTATTGCAGTTTTTTGGGGGATGACCTGGGAAGGCCTCACTATGTGGTAAACCGAGGATAGGGTGACAGCAGTCAGAGGGTGTGTTGGGCTCTCAACCCCTTTGAGCCCCTCGTGGAAATGTGGGGTAAGCAGGTAGAAACTTGAGACTGGATTTAGAAGCAGGAGTGGTGGGACGTCGGTGCTGGGGATTAAAATTGGAAGGGTGTCAGCATATTGTGGACATTTTTGAACCACAACATTGAAGTCACCAAGGGAGCAAGTATTTAGAGAGAAGAGACAATCCAAACATGGGCTGCAGGACATCTCCTAGTTGGAGGTCAGAGAGAGGAGAAGGAAGTAGGAAATGAGATCTAGAAGGAGAGTTTAGAGATAACAATGGAAAGTCATAAGGTGGTAGATCCCACAGGGCCTTGAAGCTGTTTTAAGGATTTTTAAAAATCATGAAACAGATGAAAAACAATGAAATAGTAATGCATCACCAAATAATGCAAAAGGCCAATACGCTTGAGAAAACACAGAATTTTATTAACCATAAAATAAATACAGATTGAATGCTATTATTTGCAACTATCAATTGCTTAAGGTTGAAACAAATCATGTCAGCAGGTGGCAGATAAACAACTATGCAAACTGCCAATATAAATGTTAAGTCGGTTGGTCATCAGTATATTAGAGTCCTTTCCTTCTCTTAGGTAAGTTTAGCCATTTGCATTGATTGATATGAGGGATATGCCTTAATTCTGACTGTGTAGGCTTAGTTTTTAGTTATAGTTGCTTAAAAAACTCATCATGTGGTCTGTTTTCCTTCTTTCCCACCTGTAGAATTCTTTAATAATCTGAGTATTTGTTCTATCTACTTAGCTTTATGAATATAACTTTATATAACATGATAAATCTATTTGGATAATACCTATTGATTTCCTCTTGTGAGCAATTATAAAATTAGCATATTTCCATGAATTTCTAATTCTTCCCTTCTTGCTTTAATTCTTCCACCACTAAATTTTGCTTGATTATTTATTATCTTCTAGTATTTGCTTTTCTACCTTAAAATATAATTTTGTTAGACTTAAATATTTTATGAGGCTCTGAACAAAGTTAGGAAAAAAATAGCATATGTTTATGACCTCCCGCTCTTTCCTTTCTATCCTACACCAGTTTTTAATTAAATTATTTAGAGCATTTACACTTTGCTCTGAACTGTCATTCCTGTATTTATTTTTATTTTGGTTTTACAGGTAAATGTGTTCAATGGTGACCACCAGTTATTTTATGTACTTTATCAGTGCGTGTTCTGTGTTGGTGATACTACATCGATTCTTCCCCCTGGAATATGTCTTATTCAGTTGGTTCAATCACTCCTCATTTCCTTTTAATTTTATTTTTCAATTACAGTTTACATTCAATATTATTTTCTATTAATTTTAGTTGTACAGCAGAGTGGGTAGATAAACATATATTTTACAAAATGACCCTCCCCCCATACTTCCAGTACCCACCTGGTATCATACATAGTTATTACAATATGATTGGCTATATTCTCTACTTGTAACTACCAATTAGCACTTAATCCCTTCACTTTTTGCACCCAGCCCCACAACCACTCTCCCTCTGAACTATCAGGCTGCTTTCTACACCTGAGTCTGTTTCTATTTTGTTTGGTCATATATTTTATTCTTTAGATTCTACATATAAGTGAAATCATATGGTATTTGCGTTTCTCTGGATGACTTACTTCATTTAGTGTAATACCCTCTAAGTCTGTCCTTGCTGCTGCAAATGGTAAGAGTCATTCTTTTTTATTACCAACTGATATTCCATTGTATTTATGTACCACAGTTTTTTTATCCACTTGTCTATTGATGGGCACCTGAGTTGCTTCCATATCTTCCTTTTTAAGTTCTCAAAAATTTCTGTGATTTATATTTTGAAATATATACTTTAGTTCAGTTTCACTGTTTTGATTCTCTTCCTTGAAGACACTTAGGATGTGTCCAGCAGACAGGACAGCCATCATTTTTTTTTCTTCTAATCTGTTTTAACTCCCTGAGCAAAATGGGATTGAAAAAAACCAGTCTTACCCACATTATCCTTTCATGAGTGGCAGCGTCCAGGCTCCTCTTTGCCTTTTTGCTGCTATTGTTTGACTTCTTTCCTGAGTCTTGCCAGCTTATAGTTTATCATGTTTTCTTGTCTCAACATATCTCTCCCAAATTTTCATATTTCTGTTTTGACCTCTTGTGGCGATGATCTCATCACATGGATTATTTTTAGTCATAACTAACTGTATGGTCACAATTTTCATTTGCTCTGTGGAAGCATTTTTTTTTTTTTTTTGTCCTATATCTTCTATTTGTTTCTTCTGTCCATTTTCTTCCTTTATTTTGCTGTATTGTTTTATATTTCTTGCACCGTTTTCTTTTACCTCTCTGTTCTATTAACCATTGCATTTCTTAATGTCATGGGCTCTCCCTCGATGAACTGTTTGAGGAGGTTCTTGGTAACAGATCAGAGCTCTGTTTCAGCTGAACGGGATTCCTCCTCGGTTCCCAGTGGTTCCTTGGCTCTGAGTAGCTCGAGCCTGCCTTTGAGTAGGACCTTCGCACACGGTGGAAGCACCC